GACTAATAATAGTATGTTATGCATCGATAGCAGCAACAGCTTTTCCAGGTTCTGCAGTCATCTGAACAAAATTATAGACATTTAGCACATTCCATTAAAAAAAAAAATAATAATATCCAGACAACAGCCAAGTTCTGTTGCTGCTGTGGTACCTGGCACCATTTTTTCTATTAGCCTCTTAATCATCATCTGGAAAGAACATTCTAGAGTAATATCATTAATGTAGCTCTGATAAAGCACGGTCCCTACTATGTATCATAAAGCAGGTACTAGATATTTTACATTCACAGGGGTATGATACAGTAGCAGTAGCAGTTTTTAAGTGAAGAGTGAGGAAGAAACTGGCTCTGCAGAGCAAGGTTGGGCCAAGTAAAAAAGGGGAAAAGCAAGATAACACCCTAGAGAAAGCAGGGCAGGTTATTGTGAAGAAAGCCACAATAGCAAGCTTTTGGCATCTGTAACCTTTTATTTTGTTTTTGGTATCAGGGATTGAACTTGGGACCTTGCAAGGCAAGCAGGGGAACCACTGAGCTAAATCCCGGCCCAATCTGTATCCTTTTAGGCTGTCAAAATCTCAAGGAAATCCACAAGAACTAAATCCAGGTCCTGAGAAGTGCTGGGATCCCACACAGGTCTAAGATTCCTATTGAAAGCTGTTCAGGTGCCAGGGATTTAGCTCAGTGGTTTTGCTGCTTGCCTCCCAAGCGCAAGGACCTGAGTTCGATCCCTGATACCAAAAAACAAAACAACAACAACGAAAAAACCACACCATAGCTGAAACCTGTTCAATCTCGTGAGAAGTCCGTGTGCAAGGCTTTGGAAACTGTTCCATGCTTGTGTTCTGGAATCTTGTAATTAGCAGGTCACGCCCACTTCCCCAGCCTGTTTTGCCACGCCCTAATCTGTCTCATTTCCCCGAGAGACACATCCGCATGATTATAGAGGGCTCAGGGAGTGGTGGTCTCTTCTATATAAACCTTCTGCAAGCTGGAAGGGGCTGTAGACCCTACTTGGGATTGTATGTTGTCCAACTACGTTGGGGTGCTGTGGCTCACTGGCTGGGTTTTAAGAGATGTCTTCCAGACGCTCACAGGAGTAGCTTTTTCCTTTTGGTCAATCTTCCAACAGTTCAAATGGGACTGGCTTTATTCTAGAAAGATGTATCTGTCTCTGCCACCTTTACTGCAGTGGGTATTGTAAGGATCACTGAGAAAAGATCCCTCCACTTTGGCTTTTATTGGTCATGTGCTACCCTCCTGTAGCTGTGAATAGGAGAAGGGAGGGTTAGAATGAACACATCTATAAGGCAGGTGCACATTTCTCATTTCCAGGTGAAGGACTGCAATCTTGAGCCTGTTAATTAAATTACTTGCTGTTCCAACTGCTGGCCTAACCTCTGAAGTGAGTGCCCCAGAGTACACTCAGTGGTTCTCTGTCCTTATAACCATAAATCAGCTCTTAGACACTGCTGCTTGAAAGAAGTGGCTTCTGTGAAGATGGTGGTGGGGTTTGTTATTGTTGGTTGGTTTTTTTGTTTTGTTTTGTTTGCAACTGAGTTTCACTATGTGGTTCATGCTGGCCTCAAACTCTCCACCTAGTCTTCCTGCCTCAGACTCTTGGAGTTTTGGGATTACAGGCATGAGCTGCTACCAAACTTGGCTTGACAGTGGTATTTTAAAAGCAAGAGGGCTATAGCTAAAGGGCTCCTTTTCTGTGCTTGCATCATTTTTTCCTTCCTTTCTCAGCACTGAAGATTGAACCCAGGGCTTTGTGCATGGTAGACAAGTACTGTACTGCTGAACTATGTCCCTAGACCTACTTCCACGTTTTGAGATCTGTTTTTCTTTCTTTTTTTTTTTTTTTTTGGTACCGGGGATTGAACTCGGGTCCTTGCGCTTGCAAGGCAGGCCACCGAACCTCTGAGCTAAATCCCCGGCCTGAGATCTGTTTTTATTGTAGGTCTTTTTTGCTGATCTTGAGACTCCATATTTAAGAATAAAGCACTTGGGAACCTGAGGCAGGAGGATCACCATGAATTCATGGCCAGCCTGGGCTACACAGCGAGACCCTGGCTCCAAAAATTAAAAAAGACCATGTCTCAAAATAAATAAATAAACCCCCCAAAAATAGAAGGAAAGAAAATTCTCTAATTTTTGTTTTTTTTTTTTTTTTTGCTGTACCAGAGATTGAACACAGGACCTTGCACTTGCTTACAAGGCAAGTGAGGTGCCACTGAGCTAAATCCCTGGCCCACTAATTTTTTTCTTTTTCTGAGTGGCATGTAACACTACACCCATCTAAAAATTCTCTAAATAATGGTAGCTAAAACTGGGTGCTCCATCGAATCTTTTTTTGGGGTATAAGGGATTGAAATCGGGATCTTGTGCTTGCGAGGCAGGCGGCAGTACCAAGTTGCCCAGGCAGAAGTTACATGATTCTCCTGCCTCAGCCTCCTTCAGTGCTATAATCAAGTGTGTACAGTACAATCTGCTCAGCTCTGAAGTTAGATGCCAGTCTCACTCATAAGATAGCTTCTTTGGGCCACTGCTCGAGCTGCTTCTGAAGAGGCCATAGATACACTGAGCTAAATCCCCGGCCCCTTGCATTGAATCTTGAGCCAAGGTTCAATCATTTCTTTTCTCAAACATTTGATTTTTTAAAAATTCTTCAATAGTTGTCTGTTGCTATGGTAATTTTTTAAATGTTGTGTGTTTGAGGTTTACAAACATGACTTTAAGGGGATACATATAGATAGTAAAATTAACATCATCTTATGTGATTACTTTTTAGCCACAAGAGCAGCTAAATCTGATTTAATGAGAATCCTTAATGTGCTATTAATACCACACTCCACATACTGTACATTAGATCTCGACTTGTTCATTGCATGTATCATTCACTATCTTCTGACTTGTCTCCCATTCTTCCCCTCTCCCATGCACCTGATAACAACTGTTTTATTCTCCATATATTTGGCTTATAATTTTTTAAGGATTCCTCATATGATGCAATCCTTTTTTCTCAGTTCTGAGGAATGAACCTAGGGCCTTCACACTGAGCTACACCCCTAACCCTCTCTTAAAATATTGAGATGGGTTCTCACTAAGTGATAAAATTGCCCTGTCAAATTTGATCCTCCTGCATCAGCCTCTCAGGATGCTAAGATTGTAGGTGGGCACCACCACGCGGGGCTGAGATCATGCAGTCTTTTTCTGTGATTTATTTCACTTAATTAAAGTCCTCCAAGTTCATTCATGCTATGGCAAGTGGCAGGATATCTTTTTCTATTACCGCTAAATACTATCTCTGCATCATTCTCTTTTTCCACTCATGTGTTGACAGACACTTACATTTTTTTCCATTTCTTGGCTGTTAGGAGTAATATGCATTTCTTTGAAATTATCTTTTGCAAAGGTGTTTGCAGGATGGCTGCAGCGGAGCTAAGATGTAATAGCACTTTCAAATCACTTGTGCAGATTTGCACTATGATCAGGCCTCTCCATTGGTCCTCAGATTGTTCTTCTGGGACAATTCTTGCCAGGGCAGATGCTTTTAGCCAACTGCAAACTTCTAATTATAAGAAAAACCTATGAAATCCCTGTTATTTGGGGGGTAAGATTGAATATCAGGTTGAATGAGAAACCAGAAGTAAGCCTAGATAGTAGTCATCAAGTCTGAAGGAAATTCTAGTGTAAGGCAATTTCCTTGTGTTTGTCATAAGTCTGATAGTACAAAACGTGACTTGCAGTCATGATTGGTTCATTTGGTAGAGAATTTATTTTTTCCAGTACTGGGAATCAAACTCAGGACCTTGCACTTGCAAGGCAGGTGCGGTGCCACTGAGCTAAATCCCCAGCCCTGGTACAGAGTTTTTAAGGTGGGGAAGATTGCTGTTTGTCTTGAATGTTTTGTGGGTGAATATGAAGAAGAGGTGAGGGATATTAGGTAATATATAGAAGCAATGATGCTTTCCTTAAAGCTTTAAGGGGTTGGGGGTTTAGCTCAGTGGTTCCACTGCTTGCCTTGCAGGCTCAAGGTCCTGA